ATAATATTATATGTCAACTTTCTAAATTAAATATTTTCTTCTCTAAAAATAAGATGTTAAATATTTATTTTTATTTTAAATTTTAAAATTATCGTGATATTAGGTGTGAAAAATCTCAATATATATAAAAAAAAGATTAACAAATTGGGTTGGAGGGAATTTTTTATGTATAAATATTTCATCCCCTGTTTGTGTGAGTGTGTGTATATATCAATTTAAGAATTTAACATATTGAGTCGAAGGCAAATCTTTAAGTATTATAAATATTTTATCCCATCTAATTTTTAATTTCAAGCATACATCGAAAGATTGACATATATGAATTGACACATATTATAACCAAAATTGTCTAATTTAAAGTGAAAACATTGCTTTCTTTATTTCTAATAAACTTTATATTAAATGAATTTTGATTTGAAAATTGTATAAACTTATTATTGACTTGCACTGAATTTTTAAATATTTATTAAAATAAGGGTAAACTTGTGAATGTTGGGCAAATACGTTTTTGATACAATATTAAGAAACAGTATTTAGAAACAATCTTAACTGAAAAAAGTAAGCTCATAAAAGATGCCGTGACCAATAGAGTTTTTTTTTTATAAAAAAAAAGAGTCCATCAAATATAGAAAATGTATATGTCTAGTCTAGTTCATTTCCTTTTGTCATGTTAATTTGATAAAGTTTGACCCATATAAGATTAGAAAGTGGATATTTGTCGAATTTCAATATTAATAGCACTCACTGAGAATATTAATAGCAATCAATGAGAAATTTTTAAGAGTATAGAAGCTCAAATAAAAAATAAAAATTTACATACATCTAAATAAAAAAATTAAAGTATATGCATTCAAATAGAAATTTTTTTTAAAAAATATAAAGACTTGATTAGAAGGAAAGTAAAATGTTCACTAGGTGAAAATACCAGCATTTGATGATAAATTTAATAACCATATGTCAATCTGGCATAATCTAATAAAAAAATTGATAATAAGAAAATTTAAAAATTAATACCTTTAAATAATAAAATTTGATGCATTCAAATAAAAAATTAAAAAAAATGAAAATGAACAAGAACACTTAATTAAAAAAATAACATTTATATAATCACATGTTTAAATAATATAACATAAAAACTTGATTAAACAAAGCTGGAAATCAACACGAGCAGACTCTAAGATTTGGTACATTAAATATTAACTAAAGTCCACGAACAATATCACGCGCGGTATCAATTAGCTGTATTGTTGCAGTCGATACCCCTATCCCTGTTGCACCTGCCGTGACTGGATCACTAACCAGCGTCAGTGCCGCCCCCACGACCCCCG